AAGGCATTCCCTTCCCTCTGAGCTGGGAGCACTCACTCTCACATTATAACAGAGCACCAGGTTCATCTGTCCAGGGCAGAGAAYGTCTGACCCTGCTGCAGAGTTCAGCTCTGGCCGGAGCCCAGCACAAACAAGAGGAAGATTCATGGTGTCACAAACCCAAATGAACACCACAAAAGGTAACATGGAGGTTACCCCACAGGTTTCCTTCCCAAAGCACTTTCCAAAGGGAATAACAAAGTTACAGTTAATGCAATAGTCGGTCCATGCAGCTGAAAATAGCTCCTGACCTGGKACATGGGATTTGTCCAAGCCTTTCTTAGCTCGCATAGGAGAGTCCACTCAATCAGCAGAATTTTAGGATTTTTTGGACAGCTAAAACTGCTGAATTCATTTAGGGTAAAAAAAGARTGCCAGGAAGATATTTTGAGAGTGAAAGTTCTGCACTGGGAGGCCTTAGTCAGAGATGRTCTAAACTTAGAGAGCCTGAGGCAGGAAGAGAAGTGAGTGACACCTCCATGGGACAGCTCTGTCCTCWGGGAACCAGGCTCCGGGCTGCAGTGTCTGGTTGGTCTGTAGGGAAAGGAAAATGGAATGATTCCAGACATTAGCTCTAAGYAAGAAGCCCGATGCACTTAAGAATTTAGGGATTATAATGACCAAGTAAAAGCTTCTTTCCTTTTAAAAAGGATACTGCCAAGTGTTTCACATTCGTTCTTCCATAGCCAAAAGGAAAAAAAAAATTAAAACAGAGCTGTTATGGATAGTCCCCCAGAGAAATTCAAACCAGTAAGTGCAAACCATCCCCACCAGTCTGGGATGTGTCCCTGCCTTCATCCCCACCAGTTTGGGATGTGTCCCTGCCTTCATCCCCACCAGTTTGGGATGTGTCCCTGCCTTCATCCCCACCAGTTTGGGATGTGTCCCTGCCTTCATCCACACCAGTTTGGGATGTGTCCCTGCCTTCATCCACCTCAGTTTGGGATGTGTCCCTGCCTTCATCCCCAGCAGTTTGGGATGTGTCCCTGCCTTCATCCACCTCAGTTTGGGATGTGTCCCTGCCTTCATCCACACCAGTTTGGGATGTGTCCCTGCCTTCATCCCCAGCAGTTTTGGATGTGTCCTTGTGTCGCTGCCTTCAGTTTTGTGAACACTGGGTCTCTTGCTGTTTGTTTTGAGCTGTTTTGAGCATTTCCCTGTCCCTGTGAGTCACTGTGACCCAGAGCCGGCTCTCGGCAGCAGCTCGGATGGATCTGTTGTTCGGATCTGTTGTTTGGCGCTAATGAGGGGGGAGAGGTGTGAGGTGACTCACGGTGTTAGGAACGCACTGAACGATTCCCAGGCTCCAGACCTCCCAGTTAATCCTGCAACCCCAAAACATTCCGAGCAGAGCCAAGGAGTGCCCAGAGGGAAGGGTTTGCGGTTCAGAACGTCAGCTCGCCTGTGCACCACGTCCTGGCACAATTCCTCCCTGCTTTTACCAGAGGAAGGGTTAAATCTACTGCCTGAACAGCCTCCTCTTTACAGGATTTGTATGGCACCTATCAAAGCAGGACTTTGAGAGTGCTGGAAACAACACAGGTGACTGTTCCACACCAGAATAATCTGTATTTTTGTATTGATGTTTCTTTAGTCATGATGATACTGAAGTGTTATTTTCACAGAAGTCAAGGGAGACTCACGGCCTTCTGTACTAACAGTGGGTTCTGAGGAGGACAAACACTGCTGGATCAGCTCTGTGTCTGCAGCTGAACAATAAATGTCACATTTCTGTGAAATTCGGTGGAAAACAAGCAGGCTAAGGGAGTGCCCACCCTCACTGCAGGCTTCAAACCCAGTCTTTAGTGTAATCTCATTACATCAGAGCAGTCAGAGAATAAAGCCACAGACTTTGGAAGAGACATTTAAAGCTCATCCCATCCTACCCCCCTGCTATGGCAGGGACACCTTCCACTATCCCTGTGTGCTGTGAGCCCCATCCAGTCTGGCCTTGGGCACTGCCAGGGATCCAGGGGCWGCCACAGCTTCTCTGGGCACCCTGTGCCAGGGCCTCCCCACCCTCACAGGGAAGGATTTTTCTTAACATTTAATTTAAAGCATTTCAATCTAAATCTGTTACAGTGTTTCCCTGACAATATTGTCCCATGCTTTTTGTTTTCCCTCTCGGGCTGAGCTGAGCTGCTCCTCTTTTGTCACTGTATTTACACCTGCACTACAAGGAGCAACKTTTTTGTTCCAGTGTAAAATGTGACTCACAGTAGCAAACTCAACTATTTTGTGTTTAACATGTTTCATGTTTTATACATGACAGTGAAACCAGGCTAGAAAGCTGATTGTATTAAAGGCTCTGGAGCTATGGGATGACAACTCCATCCATGGAAGCGTCCAAGGCCAGGCTGGATGGGGCTTGGAGCACCCTGGGATAGAGGGGGGTGTCCCTGTCCATGGGATGGAGTGGAATGAGGGACCAAGGTCCCCCTTCCAACCCAAGCCAGTCTGGGATTCAATGTACCAACCTTCATATATTGTAATAAAAAACAAATTAGACTGACAGCAGTGACCAAGGAGGGCACACAGAGCTGGATGGTCCCAGCTCAGGTGAATGGGGCAGCTTTGGGCCACATCCCTGGATTTGGCTCAGCCCCATCCCTTGCTCTGCTCTAATCCCAACTCTTCCCCAGGCAGTCACACAATCCCAGCTCATTTCATTCTCAGTTCAGGGACAAAAACACCTCCAGCTCTGACAAAACAGAAACTAAAACGAGCGGCAGAAGCTCCCAAGGGCTCCACCAGCTCTGAGCCACCAGCCCGTCCAGGATCCGAGTCTGTCACGGTCACTGTCACAACAGCACAATGTGAATGCACTGTTCCCACTGACRGCACTGGACACCCACCCAGGGACACACAGCAGCCAGGGTTAGCTACAGAGCACATGTAAAGGAGACAAAAACAAAACTCAGACATCATTTGTACATGTAGGGATGGTGTTTATGAATCAAATGACTGGAACTGGAGCTGGAGCAGTCACCCAGGGCTCACACAGGCTCGGCCTTGGGAGTACTCAGTGTGTGCTTCTCCCAGCACAGTATTACATCCACCACAATTCCCCTCACCTGGRCTCACGAGTGTCTGTGAACTCTCCCCACTACAGTAACACTGCCCTTGACAGTAGAAAATACCCACTTTCCATAGGAAAAAACTGCACTGTCCATCACTGCTCACAATTTCAATCATTACCTGGCACAGTACCAAATTAATCTGCTTTCTTGCACTCTGAGCTTAGTTGATTACCTGGTCAGGTTATCAGCAGGGATAAGGTGTGATGGAATTACAGGGGTTTGGGCAGGCATGGGGTCAGTGGGGCAGTGGTGGAGGAGCTCACATGCCCTGTGCCCTCACACAGCACCAAGGGAAGAGGCCAGAAATCAGTGCAGGGGGAAAAGGAGATGTTATTTCCTGTTGAAAATTATATAACTTCTCTAATTGTTTTAATTAATTGCAGGCCCACTTTCAGCCAGCATTTGTTAAGTTTCTTCACAAGCTCTTATAATTACTTTGATCATTAAATAACGAAAACCTCAAGTTTATTCAAAACTAACCCTGCCAAGCTTCAGTAAATAAAGCAAAAGGGAGTTGAAGACTGGACATCTGGGATCTTAAATTTATGATCCTTCAAGAGCATTTGAATAACCATTAAATGCAGAGGAGTTTACAGACTGTAAATCTGGAGATTCTGTGACTGAGAAAAAGATGATAGAAGTAATAAAGGATACRGATCAGACGAGCATTAAGGGTGCGAAATTAATAACCAATAGAGGACAGAATASTAAGTAGAGAATCATATAACTTAGAACCAATGAACGTTAATTTGTTTGCTAAAAATGTATAAATAAGTGAAAAAGCTTTGGGTCTGCGTCGGTGTGGAGGCTGGAACTTTGTCACCCACACAACTCTTGGCCTTACTAACAGTGTAAGACAGGGTTAGAGGGACTCTTTATTTATCCCAGGGATTTCAGAGGATTTCAGTAGCACTCCCACGGGCACCAGCTCTGTCCCAGGGCTCCACCAGTTCCCCCTCACCAGGCAGTCCCCGTGCCCTCGTTTTGCTCCCATCCCCGACCGCCCCTCAG